AGCTTTCTTTCAGGAACCATTTATTGAGTATTCTTTCCCAATGCTAAGTGCTGGCATACAGCAGTGAGCAAGACAGTTAATGTTTCTGCTCTCATGGTGGCTTAAATTCAAACAAGTAATTACATACAAGTAATGAAGTATACAAACAAGGTGGTTATAGATTGTACCATGAAGGCAGTGAGTAGAAAGTAGCTAGCTGGGCAAGACCACTTTGGCTAGGTGGTCAGGGAGGGGCTCTCTGAGGAAGTGACACATGAGATGAGATCTGAAGAATGTAAGTCAGTCAGCCACTGAGAACAAGGGAAAGAAACTTCTAGCAGAGGAAATGGAAAGTGCAGAGTCCCCTGGGCAGCAAAAGGCATGTCTTGTTTAACGAACAGTCAGAAGGTCAGTGTGAATGGAGCAGAGTGAGCAGGGCAAAAACGTAAAGCAAATGGTGGTGGAGAGGTGAGGCCATGCAGTGGCTGAGAGATCCTGTGTGTGGTAAGGACTTTGAATTTTATTCTAAAGCATGGGGGACCCGTTTAAGGGTTTTAAAAAGTGATGGTGTAAGAGGTAACAGAATCTGATTTATTTTATTGTTTTATTATTATTTATTTTTTGCTTTTCTGATTTATGTTTTTAAAAGGTAGTCAGCTGTGTGAAAATGACTTAGAAAGGGGCAAGATGGAGTAGAGAGATACTTTAAGGGGCTACTTCAGTCATCTATGGGAGAGATGACAGTGGTTGGGATTAGAGTGAGGACGGTAGAAAAGGAGAGAAGTGAATGATCTGTGATATACTTTGGAGGTAAAATTGATAAGACTTAGTAATGGTTTGGTTGTAGGGGGTGAAAAAGAGAATGGAATCAAGGATGACTTCTAGGTTTTTGAGCAACTTCAGGGATAAAAATGTTATTCACTGAGATAGAAAAGGCTGGGGGAGAACCAGTTAGGAGAAGGGAGCATGTTAATATTGAGTAGTCTGCTGGACATCCAGGAAGTGATTCCAAGGAGAGAGACATGTGAGACTGGAGCTCAGGGAGAAGAAGAGTTGAAGATATGCATCTCAGAGCCCTAACCGGTTTGGCTCAGTGGATAGAGTGTCGGCCTGCAGACTCAAGGGTCCCAGGTTCGATTCTGGTCAAGGGCATGTACCTGGGTTGCGGGCACATCCCCAGTAGGGAGTGTGCAGCTGATTGATGTTTCTCTCTCATCGATGTTTCTAACTCTCTATCCCTCTCCCTTCCTCTCTGTAAAAAAATCAATAAGATATATATATTTTTTAAAAAGATACACATCTCAGAGTTGTTAGCATACAGATGATATCTAGAGCCAGGTGATCAGATGAGATCTCCTGGGAGAAAGTAGAAATGGAGAAAAAATAATGCATTAGGTGAGCTGAGATCTTCCAAGGATTAAATGTCAGGAGGAGACAGAATTGCAACCAGCAAAGACTATTGAAAAGATAGTGATATTATTTGGGGCTACGCTGAGTGTGACTAGGCGTTAAAGGAGCAAGTAGGCATAGGGAAGCCCATTAGGGCAAGATTGTTGTGTCTAGCAGTTAACACTGTGGCTGGCATCATTGAATGAAGGAGTGAATTTTTCTGAGGCTCTGGCACATTTCTAGGTATGGGGATAAGAAGTGAACATTTGGAATGGCTGTTTCCCGGTGGCCTGACATCAGGGAACTTTCCATCTTACTTTGTGAAAGCCCACTTTTAATAGAATTTAGATAATTTGCTAATGACTAGTAGAGCCATTCCTTAGATTTACATTTGGAAACAATCAGAAATCACCAGCTTGCATTTTCCAAACCACTCAAGATGAAAATACTCCATAAAATAGTAATATATGGACAAGCAAACACACAAGTAAAATTGAACTTTTATAGAAAACCTCAAAAACCCTCTTTAGAGCCCATGGACTTTTTTTCCTACTGTCAAAGTGATCAATCTTTTACAAAGTTCCAAGCTGTGTGTGTGTGTTGCGGGGGGAGTGGGGGGGATGGGCAGGAGG